CCTTATCCTTCTTCTCATCCTCCTTCTTCTCCTTCTTCTTCCCCTCCTTCTCCTTCTCCTCCTCTGCTCCTTCTCCTCCTCCTCTCTCTCTCTCTCTCTCTCTCTCTCTCTCTCCATTTACCATCAAACCTAAGTCTCCATGCATTCTGGACAAGGGCTCTACCACTGAGCTACGTTCCCAAGCTTATTATATTTCTTGAGCCTGAGAAGGCCAAGGTTGAGGGGGCTGCATCTGGCAAGGCCTTTGTGCTGCATCGTCCCATGGCAGAAGGCAAAGGAGCAAGATAGCACAGGGAGAACAAGAGGAGTCAAACTTGCTTTTACAGTAAAACTACTCTTGATATAACTCAACTCTTCCCTTCAAAATGACATTAATCTATTCATGAGCCCTCATGATCTAATCACCTCTTATTACATCCTGCTTCCCAACACTCTTGCACTGGGGATTAAATTTCCAACATATGAAGGGCTGGGGTTGTGGCTTAGTGGTGTGAGGCACTGTATATAAACAAATGAATAAATAAAAACAAATAAATAATAAATAAATAAAAACAAATAATAAATGAATAAAAACAAATAAATAATAAATAAAAACAAATAAATAAAAAGGTCAGTCAATAACTAATAAAATTTTTTTTAAATTTCTAACATATGAACTTTAGGGAAAATATTCAAATCATAGCAGCATGGTAAACTATTTTTGTTATAGCGGCCCACTTATACTAAGACATACACTATAATATTTATTACTGATACAAAAGAAAGAAGGAAGAAGAGGTTGGGTCAAGTAGAAAAGAAAAAAACACAGACTACAGAATTGGAGGTAAGCCATTAGCATTTGGGTTAAGTGTTATGGGCTTGAGGACAAAAGCCCTATGTCCTTGATTAGATGTATAAACTCTGATGACAGCCAAGCAGCAAAACTTATAACGGAGCTAAAAACTCACTTGCCTTGCTATGGGCAGTTTTCCTTTTAAGGTGGGATTAAAGATGGCTGTAATTCATTGCTACTCTTCCCACCGAATGGAGAAATCTAATTCATCGTCCCTTGACTACAGCCTGGACTTATTGACTTCCTTCATGAATAGAATGCAGCAGAAGTGACATCCTGAGACCTCTGGGGCTATTTCAAGAAGCCTTGCTCTCCCCCTGGCTTCTTAAAACATTCTCTGTGGGAGCCCTGAGCAGCTGAGGGCATGTTCAACTGCCCCGAGACACCTGTGGGATTGGTCCTGTATAACTTCTGCAGACAGTGCCCCAGCTGAGCGCACCTTCAGCCATCTCCGACAAGGCAGCAGGGCCAGGACAGATGCCTCTGTGCATCTCCAGACCCACCCCACCAGCAGTCGCTCTATGATTTGTGGCGTGGAAGAATCATCCAGCCACGCCCTGCCTGAATTCCTCAGCCACATATTGGGGAATATCACAAAACGGCTGCTGTGTGAAGCCAGTAGGTTCTGGTAGCTCTTCAAGCAGCAAGCGATAACTGGAGCTAGGGAAGTGGTCTGTTTTTGCATGAGCTGCTCTTTATTTGGGTTGGGAAGTGGCTGGATTTCCTTGCTTGTTGAATTTCCTCTTGGTACTCTTAAGAATCCTGGGGCACACTGTGGGAAGTGCAAGGGCCCCTGATTGAGGAATTCCAGTAAGAATATTCTGCATTTCACAGGCCTCAGTCTCTTGAAACCCTTTAAAAATTTTTACCACGCCCCCCCCACCCCAGGGGGGGACAACTTTCCATGCCTGTCTTCCTCAGTGAGTATCTACTAACTGAACTTATCCAACACGGCATTGGATGGAGTGAAGCCACTTTGGAAAGAGAGGGACCATAAGAAAATGCCAAGGGAGAGCCCCGGTGCTGACCGCATGCTGGCCCGGGCAGGAGGGCAATGATTTATCAGTGGGGTGGTTCAGAGCTTCAGCAGGCATTTTCATTGTCCCCCTATAGTCACCCTCTCCATGTTTGGGCTGGTTCTAATACTCCTAGAGGAATCCTCTCAGATATGTGGAGTGTTGTCTTGGTCACTGAGTTGTCAGAGCTGGGATGGTCCCCGGGGGTCATCTGATCCTTGCCCTCTCCTTTTACCAAAGTGGAAACGGAGTTTTCATGTGTATTGGGGGGTTCTAAATGAGATCGTCTGTAACTGGCAGAGAAATGGCAAAAATCCCAGGCGACTGCACCAGACCCACATTTGTGTGTGGGGGGTGTGTGTGTTTGCATATGTACACTCATGTGCACGCCCTCGCATTCCCTTATATAACATCAGTATATGATTAGACACAGGAGAAAAAAAAAACCCAGAAGTTCATTCACCTGCTGGTTTATTAACTTCCTCCACCAATAATAAGTGTTGGAAATTTCTCTCTCACAGGCACTGGTCAGTAGGTTGAGGTTATTGGACAAATGTCAATGGGTCCTGAGATCATCCAAATGGGTGCCAACTAGAGTCGAATTTGAGGGAAAAGGGGAGACTTCAGGGCAAATGGGGAAGAGGCCGTGGCCTCCCACCTGCAGAGCTTGGGCAGGTGCAGGACCCACCCTGCTGCTTGCTGGCCTGAGAATGCCTACGATTTTGGAGCTTTTGGAACCACCGGCAGGACATTGTGTTTGCTGGAACATGCTCTCGGAAAAATCTTGTACTGGGTACGTGCCTTGTGTCCGCCATATGTTGTTTTCTCTTTTTAGCTTCTGAATATGAATGTGTGGTTCTTTGTATGAATAACAAGAAGTTACATAAGGAAAGATTCAATAGGTAATATTTACAACCGGGCTAATTTTCTTAATGAAAATGTTGTAAGAATTCCCTTTTAGTAAACTCTGCTCTCCTGACTATGTATCTATCTTTGCAGCTTCCCAGGCATTTTGAGATCTGCTCACCTTAATTCTATTGCTGAGACCAGATAAAAGTAAGCAGCACTTAGCTCCTTCTTTTCTTTCACGTTCTCTGAAATTTCAGGTTAAGGAGGAAGGGGGTTGAGTTAGTATTGGCCAGGAATGCTCTGATGTGGACTCGGTTTGAGTGTGTTCCCCAAGGGTTCCTGTATTGGAAGCTCGCTCCTCAGTATGGCATGGAGACTCTTAAGTGGGACTCTTAAAAAGAGGTGGAGCCTAATGGAAGGTCACTGGGGATGCTGCCTGCAGAGGGGATTCAGGTAGTTCTCATGGGTTCGAAGTTAGTTCTTATGAGACGGTGATAATAAAAAGGGCAAACCCAGAACTTCCTTCTATTTGGCAATGTTATATCTCCCACTTGCAGGGGCTCCTGCCAATTTGGTGCCATCCACTGCAAGTCAATGCTAGTACCATGCCCTTAAACCTCTAAATTGTGACCTAAATAAACCTCTTTACCTTATAAAGTTAACCTGTCTCAGGTATTCCATTATAGCAACAGAAAATGAACTAATACAACATATCTCTAAAGTGTGCAAATGTGTTCAGGATATTCTATTATGTCCCCAAGTTGATCTCTGAGCTGGTTCATACACACAATTTTTAAAAATGAAATGATTGCAAGCTCATGTAATAATTTCACACAAAAATAAAATGCTCATGACCCAGAAGCTGGGCGAATACTGCTCCCCCCCCCCCACCCCGTGCTATTTATATGGTGGTAAAGATGAGTTCTGTTCTATTTGTTCAGACCCTGTGCTTGTTTTTGTATGTAGCATTGGTATTTTATTTTTGTTCCAGACAACATCTGTCTGGTGCAGAATCCCAGCCAGTTCCTGTAATACCTGAGTGAAGAAGACTGTGTGGAGTGCCCTCAGTGGCCCATAAATTAATTCTGAAAACACCAACACAATCAGTTCTCTGGGGTTTAGCATGGTGATGCATGAGCCTGACAGTAAATCTGTCTACAAAGAATAAAATCGAGCTTGGAGTTGTTAAAGGCAATGATCTTTGTTAAATTTAATGCAGAAGAAAAGGCTATTGAAGTAATAACTCCAATTATTCCCACCTGCTTTTCTCATTTCTTTAGGGTTTCTTGACTATAATCAGCAGGGAAGTTTTTTCTTATGAAGGTTCGTGAGACTTCACTGTTGGAATAAGTTGACAAAGTCATATTGGCCCAATGTAAAAAATGTTCCTATTAATTATCACTTCTCGCCAGCACACGCTTGCTCATGTGGGCTAAGCAGACCCCGACTAATCCCACAAACCCTCACATGTGGCAAATTCACCGTCAATTGCTTAGGACTCTGCATACTCAAAACAACAAGTTAAAGCGTCAAACATAAGACTTCCCAGGGCTACAGAATATACAGTTGGCAGCTCCTGCTGGAGAGGAAAAAAAAAATGTGATTTGACATTTGTGTAACTATTTTAAAATTTAGTCAAGGATTTTGCAGCCCAATATTTAGCAGCATGAGCTGAGCCTTGTCAGAGCTCTCTACACTGATAGGAACCCAGCCAGAGACCCGAGGGCCGCTGGGGCCTGGTCCAACTGGGAAAGGAAGCTGAGCAGAGCCAAGGCTTGCATGTGGCCTTCTGCCAAAGGTGGCATTGCCCCCGGAGTGCTTTGAAGGTAGGGAAGGAATATTAGATGGGATCAAAATTAAGGAGAGGAAACCTGGACAGAGACTCAATCCTAGTGGAGGAGGGTGGGAGGCAGTGGTGTGCTGCTAGATCTCCAACAACCAGCTCTCTGAGAAAACCATATGTAGGTTATGACATATAATGATATATAATGGAGGCATAGCACACATTTTTCAAGCAATAGTGACATATACTATACTGTTTATTATATATTCCATATAGAAAGTTGATCCTCGTGGGGTTGTTTTCTCAGATTTTTGTATCTGTAGTCAACCTGTGGTTTGTGAGTCCATGATCATTTGATTAGTGGAGTTGTGTCCCAATTGTATACCTATTTTCCAATAAATTCGTTGTTATGAAACTTGATGTATGATCTACAATTAGACTGTTTCTCTCTCGGACTGATTATATTCATTAAATTGAAGGTTCTTCCAGCTTCATCACAAGATTACTGTCATTTTGGCATTTCAGAGATTAGAATGTAAAAAATAATTTTATATGACATTGGCAAGAGTCACAAGACCATTTGAGGATTACTGTAGAATTTTCTGATAACAGTTTTTTATATAATGATTTTAGAAAACTTTTTTTTTTCCCCAGAGCTGTGGATCAAACCCAGGGCCTTGCACACATTAGGCAAAAGCACTCTACCATTGAACTACATGCTAGAAAAAGAAATTAAGCTAAAACATTTACCTTGGCTATCCATCTTTTCCTCCACATTAGTGTAATTCAAAATTTCTTAAAAATCCACTACAGTTTTAATAATTCTATCATCAACAATAGGGTCAAAAACATCAGATGATGAGTAAGTGTTTGATTACCATCCAGTTCAGCAGAGAAAGTTTCTCACATCATTGACAGATGAATGTGGCCATGACACAGATGTTGGCAGATATTTTCACGTAGTTCACCATGTAAAACCATGAAATAGTGAAGAGGAACACTGGATCTTCACTCACTCTCCACAACAGGAGTGACTTTGCTAAATCGGGCAACAGTTTTCCATACGGGAACAGTATTTTCTCAAAAATATTTCTAATGCTTCAGTATGTAACCATTGCTGACATTTTAAAGTTTAAGCCACATTATTAACTTTCTCAAGTTTAGAAAATCAACAAAACAGTAAATCGATGCCCATTTTGTAGCCAAGTCTAGAGTCTAAATACTTCTACCCAGCCAATTTCAAGCTATCTTGTGGGTACATCATTGAACTTGGAGTTGAAAAGAGATACACAGTGGTATACTATCATATATTTCCCCCATACAGATTGGACAGATGTAAACAATAGAAAAATGTAGCTGAGATTATGAAGTGGTAAGTTTTGAGTGTTTATCATCTCCATTTTTAGTAACTTATTAAATACGAGAAAAAAAAAAAAAGAAAGATGGGCCGGGGTGGACTGCTAGATGCCCTTCCTCATCCATGAACTTTGAACCTGAGTCTGGTTGGTAACGGGGTTATTCTAGATATGGCATGGAAACACCACTTCATCTGGGGCCCACTGTCTTCCAGGTGTGGGTGGGTATTAATTCCAGGCTTATTTTCAATGTGATAGAAGAAGTTGATTATGTCCATCGTGTTCTCTCTTTTTTTTTTTTTCCATCTTGTTCTTTTTTGGCTCCAATCAGAAATGAAGTGGCTCTTGGTTGCTTTGGGGTTGTTAGTAGGTGATGTTGTGAGAAGCTATAAATGAGGCAGAGACAAGAGAGAAGTGGATTCTGTGGAACCTGCCTTTACTGGGCACTCGACAGCTAGTCCAGCAACCATGCACATGTCAACTCCTTGCTTGCTCATGAAAAGACTCCACATGAGCCAGGGGTGCTACCGTAGCCGCATCGATCATTCCAAACCTTCCTGTGTTTTCTCTAGACTGTTCCTTCTGTCAGCTCCCCTTACAATCTCTTTGGGACATGCTGAACTTGGTATTAATCTCTGAGGCCTTGATTCTTGGATGCATCTTAAAGCTCTGGCTTGAAAAATGCTTCTAAAATTATATTTGTCGGTGGCAAGGTTGCATGACATAGGCGTCTTCTAAACTTCAGTGGGAAAGTAAATTAGTATATCCTTTATAGAGTTCAATTTGGCCGTATTCGGTAGAAGTCTTTAAAACATATAGTTTTGGACTCTGTATTTCCACTTCTAGGAATGTACATCATAGGAATACTCAGAGTGCTGCAAAGCTACTTATGTGAAGGATAATATGTTGATCATAACATGTGATCATATGTTGTAGCAAATAATTAGGGCCAGCCAGAATACCCAGTAATGCAGTTGTATTTAAATTAATTATAATTCCATACTAGAAAATATTATATGATTTGAAAATTGAAATTTTAAATAATATTTAGTCATAGGCAATGATTATGGCTATAATAAAAGAAAAAAGCAGAAAACAAAGCTGTGCATGCAATATGATTCCAATTTTTGTTACACACACAAACACACACACACACTTACACACACACACACAAGGAAATATACAAAAGGCAACCAGTGGTTTTCTGTATTTATTTTGGGTGATTTCTGTTTTCCTTTTTAAAATTTTTTATGTGTTATCAACCTTTCTAGAATTACTACTTACAGTTCTGTGGGGAATTGATTCCAGAATCCTGTGAGGATACCAAAATCTGCAGATGCTTAAGCTATGTATATAAAATGTCTTAGTGTTTGCAGCTAACCTACACATATCCTTTTGTATATTTTAAAACATCTCTAGATTATTTAAAATACTTAATATGATATAAATTATATGCTAATAGTTATTATACTATTTTGGAAATAATGACAAGAAAAGTCTGTTCATGTTTAGTACAAATACATTTTTTCACATATTTTCAATCTGCAGTTTGTTGAACCTGCAGATATGGAACCCACAGATATAGTAGGTGGACTTTGTGGGGTTTAATATTAAAAAAGTAAATGATAATTTGCTTTTTTAGATATTGGCTTGTGACAGCCTTCAGCTGCTGCTTGGCTTATCGCTCTGAACATAGAGTTTGCAAATCTATGTCTTGAAAACATTTTCCTCTAATTTCATAAAAAGAAGCAATGAAAAAATACAATTGAGCATAATGAAATTAACTTTACAATCAATTTGGGAACATAAACAAAACAATAGTTACATATGAAAATTTGCTTTATTCACAGTAAAAGAAGCTATTGGGGTTGGGGTGGTGGCTGAGTGGTAGAGCACTTGCCTAGCATGTGTGAGGCACTGGGTTCGATTCTCAGCACCGCATATAAATAAATAAAATAAAAGTCCACTGACAATTAAAAAATATTAAAAAAGAAGCTACTAATGGGGTAAAATGATAGTATAAGTTTATATTTGGATTCCCAAGAACATTTTCTGAAAGACCCCTCTAA